GAAAAGATACACAAAGGTGAAGTCCAGGCCCAAGAGACACATTCATGGATAATTTATTTTAAAGAGAATTACAAAGAAAAGCTCTTAAGGCTTGAGAGATCGCAGATATGGAAATAAGTACGCTCATAAATTCATTAGAATATAGGTTTCTAAAGGAAAAGCTACGCATATCTCCGTCAAAGATTCGCTTTAAAATGGGTTTTCCTCTATTTTTTAACCTCTTGTAACTATATCCAATAAAAATGGTTACCAGGGAGATACGATGATACTTAAAAAACAATATCTTCTAAACAAAAGAAAATTTTAAGCAGTTTAAAAAACAGTTACCCATTATAAAGTGTGGCACATCATTTGAAAGCTTATTTAATTTAGTATAATTTTCATCCATTTAAAATTCATTTGCATCAGGAACTTAGAGCTGGAGATTTCGAAAGAAGGATAACATTATAGCACATTTTGAAGATTTAATGGAACGAAATCCCAACATTTTGAACCAGATATTGTGGAGTGACGAATCAAGGTTTCACAATAATGCTACTGTAAATCGTCACAATATGCATTATTGGTCTCCTAAAAACCCTCACTGGGTTAGGGAAACTAACTTTCAGACCATCTGGGGAGTAAATGTGTGGTGTGGATTATTTCAGGGACGACTGATAGGTCCCTATTTTTTTCAAGGTACGTTAACTGGTGCTAGGTACTTACACTTTCTTGAAAATGACCTTCCAGAACTTCTTGAAGAAATTCCAATACAAGAAAGAGGTGCTATGTGGTGGCAACAAGATGGAGCTCCTCCACATAATAGTAATTTAGTTACCCAATTTTTAAACGAACGCTTTGAAAATCAGTGGATCGGAAACAGCGGCCCTTTGAGGTGGCCTGCGCGTTCACCAGATTTATCGCCTCTAGATTTTTTTTTATGGGGATATCTGAAGACCGTGGTATTTGAAACACAGCCATTGAATTTAGAAGATTTGCAAAATAAAATAGTACAAGCCTGCAATAACATTACACCAGAAATGATTACAGCGTCATCTACTCGTGAACTCATTCGACGTTTTGAAGCATGTTTGGCAAGTAATGGGGGCCATTTCGAACAATTTTTGTAAATATTCAATTATTTAAAAAACATATTAAGAGGTTTACCTATTCATTGGATTTGTTATTTTTTAATATAATAAAATGATAAAATGTAAACTAATTATTAATGACTTTAACCACAACATTGGTTTTTAGTCTTTACCGGCTTTATGACTCTGTAAAGTATATCAAAAATCATATCGTTGTATTCGGGACAAATTGAGTATTTATATCAGCGAAAAAAAATATAGGGGTGACATTTGAAAAAAAAAGTTAGGGGTTGTTCCTATGGGGTGGATTGATGAATATAACTTTATGTAGTGGAATTTAAAAGGCTACTAGACAAATATTATTCATATTTTTTTTTACAATTTTATATCATTAAATAACCGAGATATCCGCTGGGCAAAAAAATCTGGGACACCCGGTATAGACAGCTGACAATAAAGTATTGGACTGTGAATATAAATAGTGAACGATTCAAAGACATTAGAAATTTATATAAATTAGAAATAGTTGTGTTATAAAATAAATGTTTAAATAAATTATTATTAAATAAACTGTTGTTTGAAAATAAACAAACATCACATTATGAACAATTTTTTTCTCCAAACATAAATATTTTTTTTATAAAAATTGTTCAAATATAAGTTGTTTGTAATATAATTCTCTATAATTTTTATCCCATACATAATTTCTCTAAAACGGACCGTATTCGAGAAATTTGAGAAAATTGTAAATTTTGAAATTTGAAGAAAACTCAAAAACGGATAAAGAAAAAACATTAAATTTATTTCAGCCTGACGTGAAATGATTAGATTTTGGACAAAGTCGGAACATCTAGGGGGTACTTTATGGGAGGCCTTTTTATATTTTATGGAATATATCTGTTATTTACGTTTGGAGAAGAAAATGTTTTAAATAAAAGTTACTTCTTATAATATTATCTATAATTTTTGTTTTATACAAAATTTTCCTAAAATGGTCCGTATTCGAGAAATTTGACAAAATGTAAAAAAATATTTTTTTAATAAAATTATTCAAATAAAAGTTGTTTGCGATATAATTCTCTATAATTTTTGCCATATACATAATTTCTTTAAAATGGACCGTATTCGAGATATTTGAGAAAAAGTATTAATTTCGAATTTTAAAGAAAATTCAAAAACTGATAAAGAAAAACACATTAAATTTTAAACTTAAGCTTTATTCCGGCCTGAAGTGAACTGATTAAATTTTGGGTAGAGTCGGAACATATGGGGGGTATTTTATGGGTGGTCAGTTTTATATTTTATAAAAAATATGTGTTATTTACGTTTGAAGAAGAAAATTCTTTAAATAAAAGTTACTTCTAATATTATTCTCTATAATTTTTTTGTTCCATACAAAATTTTTCTAAAATGGTCCGTATTCGAGAAATTTTTCAAAATGTAAAAAATTTTGATTTTTAGGAAAATTGTCGTTAAATTAAAAGATGTTTGCGATATCTCTATAATTTTAGTTTTTAACGTAATAACTAGATAGGAAAGTCATGTGTTGGACACATCAGATTTTTGAATAAGCTAAAGTGATTAAGATGTTTTATTTCTGAGGGGACTAGATTATAACATGTTGGCCCTAGATATAGATATGATCTTTGTAATAAATCCTTTTTTGCTCTGATGACGGAGAAAACATCATTTGACCTATACCTGGTAGGGTATTGGTGATGAATTTTGGTTAGTTCCTTTCGATTTTTGTGTTGATGTGTAACGAGATTTACAAAATATAGATGTCGAATATCTTGAATTTTGGTTTCACTATAAAGTGTACTACCAGTTTATAGATAATCTTGGTTTTTTGAATATTATTTTGAGTATATACTTTTAAATAACCTCGAATTTGTGTATGTGTACCTTATATGTACCTCCCCAGGCAACAATTCCATAAGATAAATGGCTTTGAAATAGTGAGTAATATATTATTTTTAGTTGCTCTGTATCGCAATACCTACTTAGATTTTTAATTTATAATTGACTGTTCTTAATTTTTTAGTAAATATTCGATGTGGATGTCCCTTTTTAGGTGTAAATCTAGTATTATTTCTAAGTATTTTATCTTCGAAACAGATCTAATGTCCACCCTTTCTCCATCCAAATCTATATTGGGGTAAATAACTGGAATATGAAGCGAATGTCATAAAGTGAGTTTTGTCTGTAATGATTGTAAGTTCTTTCTGATCAAACCATTTAATTATGTTTGCGAAATCTATTTCTACTAGATTTTTTAGATCTGGCCAATTTTTTTTTTTTGATATATTACAGCCGTATCATCGGCAAAACTCACTATGCCACCCTTGCTATTTTTTTAAGATGTCATTTAGATATAGATTGAACAACAGGGGACCCAGGACAGTTCCCTGAGGAACACCGTATTCACTTGTTAGACAGGTACTTTTAGTGTCGTCTATTTTAACGCATTGTTTTCTGTTTTGAAGATAACTCTCCACAGGCTTGTATGGACTTTCCGTAAGTCCTATTCCATCCAAAACTTCCGTAAGCTGAATGTGAGTAATGGTATCAAAAGCTTTTTTTCGGTCTACAAATATACATATGGTAGACAAACCAGCATTGATACTTTTGACAATGTCGTTTGTGAGTGATACAAGCGCATCATTTGTTGATTTTCCTTCTGTAAATCCAAACCGGTTTGTCGACAATATATTATATTTTATTACATACGAGCTAATACGGTTCTTCAAGAGCTTCCTAAATATTTTTGCAAGGCACGATATTAGTAATATAGGACGGTAATTTGTCACATCCAGCCTATCTCTATCTTGGTAGATCGGCATTACACCGGCGGATTTAAACGCTTCTGGACACCAACCTATTTTAAATGCCATATTTATGATATAGGCAAGTGGTTCTGCAGTTATAGAAGAAATATGTTTTAAATCATCTGCCCTGATAGTATCCGTCATTTAGATTAAAATTACCAAAATTATATATCAGTTTATATCCTTCTGTAGTATATAAAGATATGTCTTCAATTTGTCTCGTCTCAGTCAATACAATTAGATCAAATTCATGTTTTATTTGTTCCAATTGTACCAATAGTGAATCTAGATTTTTCTTTGCACTTCTTATATTCATGTGATATATTTTTAGGTTTAAACAATCAGAGTTCAAATAATCATTTACTTCTAACGCTTTAAAATGATTTATGTAGTTATTCATTTTTAAAAATGATTTTAATAAAGAAATTAATTAAAAATATTTATGCCATATACATTAAGTATGCAGATTTTTTTTTAAATAAGTTACAATAGAAAAGATAAAGTAAAAAACTTAAAAAGAATGCGAGTTTAGTCTTTCTGTTACGTTTCGTCTTGGTCTATCGCTTTTTCCAATTTGCATATCGTTTTTTTCTTCAGTATTTGGTGATTTTTCTAAAGCACTTGTTTAAACTATTTTTTGTATAATTTTCCTTATTTGGACAATTTTCAATTTTAAGTTTTATTAGAATGTCTTAATTTTCTACGTCTTCATCGCTGTAACTGCTACCATTCACCATTAGTTTGTTATTTTTTATAGTCGCAGTTAGGTTCTTGCTACGGACTAATTTCAGCTGGTTGTGTAAAACTTTTCTTTTTTTTGTATTCTTTAATTTACAATAAATTAGCGCCAAACTTAAAACAATTGCCAATTAGAAAATAAAAAAGCAACTTTTAAATGCTACCTCTTTTTTTTAGAATCCACTCGTACTTGTATCATTTTTATCATTTTTTCTAATTTTGACATGTAAAGTGACATTTCCTGTAATCGCAGCAAATTTAAAAATGATCTACTTTATGTAACTAGTTACTAGTTGTGAAATTTGGGGTAGGTTGACTGTAAAAATGTTTCTAAAGTAGGCATCACGAATCGTATCCATGATAACTACAGTTAAAACATATAATATTTAAAAAATTAAACAACCAAATCAATTCGATATTTTTATTTAACAAAAAAAGTCAACCAATTCGTAAAAATACTAAAAATTATTCTTACAATTTGTGATAATACTCGACATTGTTTTTCACAAAACAGACCCACATCAAGTTGGCTGTCTTTCCAGGATTTTCGGCTGTTTTGGCGCATTTCTGGATGACTCCTTCGACCTTGGATTGGTCGACGACCAAACCGACCTTGATCCTCATGGTGGGGATATTCAATTGTCCGTTGGGGTGTTGGAGACCGGCTTTGATGGCCATGCAGCTCATGTGGATACCGACTTGGGGATCGTTGATGTTATTGGAGAGGTTCCTTAGTTTATTTTCGTCGCAAAAGGTCTTCGGGTTCGACTGGCAGGCGTCGTGCACTTGTTTTAGGAAGGTTCTTTCGCTGGCTGGTAAATCGGCCTGGAATAGAGAAAATAATTCGTAAAAATACTTTTTTTTAGAGAAAAATTGGAAGTTAATTTAAAAAAAAAATGGATAAGTCACATGCCCACCCTAGTTAACCCTCTTTGTTATGTTTACTTAAAGGAATTATACAACTTTTACAAATAAAACGATAGAAAAGAAAATAGTCTTTAAATCTCACAAGGATATGTTTTTTTACTGCGACCGGTTTCGAAGTGAATCATTTCATTTTTTGACACGCCTAGTGGTAAGAAAAAAGAAAATTGGTGAACTTAAAGGGGTGGTAGTGAACATCAAAAGAAATATTTTTTAAATAATAAACATAATATGTCCGAAAACGCAAAATTTTCCAAATACAGTGAATTTTATACAAAAATAATAACGCCCACTAGATATTGTCAATTTTTTTTTAATTATTTTGAATAAAGCAACTAAAAATACAAAATTTTTGTTGCTTGCTATTTTTATGTATCTAAGAATTAAGGGATAAAAAGTTTAATTTTTAGTTGCTTTATTAAAAACATTCAATTTTTTTAAAATATACAGGGTGATAATCATTTTCCGCAAAAAAATTAATAGACTTGGGCACGCCTATATACCTCCAGATCTCAACAAATTTAAAAAATTTCAATAAAATTGTTTACATTTTCAAATAAAATAACATCAACTTATTTTGAAATTTTCAAATGCTTTTCTCTTGAAAATGGTGCGCCCTAGCGAGATACAACAAAAGTAGCTTTATTCTAAAGAAAATATTGATTTTTAAAATTTTGTAGTCAAAAATGATAAAAAGAATTAACAAAATAACTTAAGGCAATTTAACCCTAAGCCCCTCCTATAATTTACCCATCTATAAAGATGTTCAAAAACTGGCGTTTAGTCCATTAAATAAAGCATAAAAAGTTTAGCATTGGTAGCAAATTTCACTCAGTTATCTTTATAAGTTTAAAAAATATTTACAAAAATGTGTCATCAGGACTTCACTTTTAACACCCTGTATCTCAGAAACAAAACGTTTTAGGACTTATGTTTATATAAACTTTTACTCCTATTTTACCCTGTATACCTCATCAAAATCTCAACAAATTTTAAAAATTTCAATAGAATCGGTTAAAAAGTTTTCAAAATATTGGTTAAAATCGATTTTTTTTATATTTATTTTGATGTCACCTAGCACCCCTAAACGTTTGTTGGTATATTTACGAGACATCCTGTATACACAGTGTGACTCAAATTGGGCATACATGTATACCTCATCAAGATCCCAACAAATTTTAAAAATTTCAATAAAATCGGTTAAAAAGTTTTCAAAATATTGGTTGAAAATAATTTTTTAAAAAAATGTTAACTCTATATCTCGGAAACAAATAGATTTTAGCAAAAAAATATTTATTTTGATGTCTCCTACCACCCTTAATAGTTTGTTGATATATTTATGGGACATCCTGTGAATATAGTATGTATGGGGATTTTGAAAACTATATAATATATAGAAACGGGCAAATGATAAAAATTTTATATGAATATATTTGCATCTTAAAGCCGTTTAGATTTTCTTTTTTTGTTTTTGATATATATATATATATATATATATATATATATATATATATATATATATATATATATATATATATATACAAAGAAAAACCAAAATGTTCCACTTTTCTAAATTATGCTGTAGCTCTTTTATTGTTCATTATTTTGGCAATCTGTAAAAACATTTTTGAAGTAACATTTTATGTAGATTTTAGTACTACAATTGGATTTTGAACACGACGTTTCAGTTATTTTATACCATCATCAAGTTATTTTTTTACCGGCAATTAGAACAAGAGTTCCTCAAGTTCAACTAAATAATAATTGGTTTCAACAAGACGGGTGTTCCGCACATATTGTTCGAGCAGTTCAAACTCTCTTTAAGACAGACATTTGATAATAAAGTTATTTCAAATGGCAGTCCAGTTAACTGGCCTGCCAAATCCTCTCTAGATTTTTATTTATGGGGGTATGCACAAAATGAAGTCTATGAGTTTGAACCTTCAGAAACCGTACAAGAATTATAGAGTGAGGTATGTATTTGCAAGCATAAATGGCAACACTTTTCGCAAGCCACCAATACTGTGTTAAAAAAGTGTCAAAAATGTATTAATAAAAACGGCTAACATGTGATTATTTTTTAGATCAATTTCACTTATTTACCAATAAGTGATACACCATTGTAAAGCTGACATAAATAGCTACCTTTTAAGTATAAAAAACAATATATCATTCATAAGAAAAAATGAAACTGATGATGGTATAAAATAACTGAAACGCTGCCTTTAAAATCCAATTATAAAAATGAAATCTACACATAAAGTTACTTCAAAAATATTTTTACAGATTGTCAAAATAAAAAAGGAACAGCATAATTTTGATAATGCATCTTTTTGATTTTTAAATATCTCAAAAACACAACAAAAGCTAGAATCACGTACTAAACGGCTTTAAGTTGCTAATATATTCGTATAAAAATTTTCCCATTTAACCGTTTCTGTATATTCTATACTTTTCAAAATCCCAATACAATTAGGCCCAATTTGGGCCACAATGTATATAAAAAGTAATCTTACCATGGCAGCTACTACACAGCACACAAAAATATTAACAGCCTTCATTTTGAATTTGTATTAATTTGTATCACGACTACAAGAAGAATCTAACAAGAGAAGAACTAAGTTGATTTTGATCATCATCACCACATACAATCTTTTATATATATTTCGATTGTAAACACGGGAATTACGTTGACCAGTAAACAAGCTAGCGATACGATTTTTTTAAGATAAATTCAAATTGAGTAACTTATATCAATAAATAAACTGGAATAACTCAATAAGAAAAATAAAACAAAGAAAGCATTAGTTTCAATTTATGGATTGCTGGATTGCGTGAATAGAGAACTTCTATGCAAAGGAAGTGCAACCAACTTGATAATTTTTTTTACACTAATGATATAAGAAATCGGGTCACATAAAGAGGCTGTTTTTTTGTTTAAATTTTTGGTTTTTCTTATCTAGTTTTATGCCGTTTAGATACCATGTTGTACCCGTAACATATTAAAGACTTTATTTTAGAGTATTTTACATTTAAAGGTTAAAAACATTTGTCAATAGCAGCTGTCGATAATGTCAAAACATAAGCGTGTAGCATTGCATTTTATTTTTTGTTGTCAAAAGTGTATTTGTGTTTCTCTAGCTTTCTTGAAACATTTTTTTTTTTTTTCATTTGGTTTTATTTATTTATTTATGTTGATTGTAAAATGCTGCTGCTACGAATACAAGTTCTATTCAATATACAACAAACATACAATACTAGTTACGTTATGGCCATCTATGGTTACACCTGTGTTCTACCATCAACATAATTGACAGCTGACAATGACAAAATGTTTCAACCTTTAAATGTAAAATTCCCTAAACTAAAAAGTCTTTTTCACGCACAGGAACAACAAGGTATGCAAATGTCATGAAAGTAGATAGGAAAACCCAAAAAGCAAACAAAAATAGCCTCTTTTTGTGACCCGATTTCTTATGTCATTAGTGTCAATTTTATTTTGTCAAATTGGTTACACTTTTCTTGTATAGAAGACCTCTATTGAAGAGTTAATTACTTTATATTCGTTCTATTTTGGAGAAAACCGAAAAACTATTCTTATAAAAAAAAGATACTTTCAAATTAAGATACATAGCTACATTCATATAAAATTATAAACATAAACTTAAATCGAAACTGTCAACTGTTATTTCTTTCAACGATCAACAATAAATAAAACGAATACAAGGTTACATCAATGAAAGGGCAATTCTAACAAATTGATGAAAAAAAAGAGACACGTTATGCTTATTAACAATTGCAATCAAAATGGCAACCCTTGGGCCTCTTAAATTGGACACTCCTTTACCAAATGGCGCCTGTGCCAATCCCAATCCTGACCAAAGTGGTTAAAAAAAATTATTTTATATTTAAAAAATCACATAAGGCACGATAGCGATAATTTCGTTTTCCCTTAAAGTTTTCCGGATAATAACATATTTAAGTATATCTTGATATATATCGTTAAAGGGAAACATTTTCTTCCTCTTAACATTGCACAAAAACATCTATCCACGATTAGTAGGTAAAAATCATTAAAAATATGAATCAATTTATTACTGATTTAAAAACTTATTTGTATGCCTATTGTTGTGATTCATTTTTACAGGTTACCATAGAAACGACAAAAAAAACTACTATGATTTTGGTTTAAAAGAATTGTCTAACAAGAGTTTATAATTATTATTGACTATCTCTGTAAATGGTTTATACAATGCAATCCTTCTTCCTTTCACACATACACATGGTTTAAAAGGTAGGTAACAATATTAATAATTCAGGTTTAAAAGCTAGGTTCACAATGAATTAGGATTGTAATTTTCAGGGCAAACACATGTCTTATGTAATTTTTTGAACATAAAATAATTTTTTTAACCTTTTTTCTCAGGATAGGGATTGGCACAGGTGCAATTTGGTAAAGTACAATGTTGTTACATGCCTTTGGAGCATATTTTATTTCGTTATCACATGACGGTCGAAATTTTCAGTGGGCCCTTATACTATTAGCAATATATGTAAAAAAAGGATATATTAACTTTAAGATTGATTAATAGCAGAATTTTTTGTTTTCGAGTACCTACTATAACTTTGTTATTTCTTATGGCGACCATATTTTTATATAAAATGTAAACAAAACTATAAATTACATTTTTTTTAGAGGTTCAACCAAATCTTTTTTCAATGTTGTGTAAATAAATAATAAATGTTATTGTTAATATTATTTAAAATTGGGATTTTTAACTAAAATGTACGTATCAAATATTTTTTGCATTTAAATTAAAATAGGAAAAAATGGGAAATAAAATGGTAAAAAAATAAGAAAAATGGGAAGAAAAATTAGAATTAGTTAGAAAATTTAAACTTAAAAGCCATAATTATTTCAGTCCTTTATACGTGGTAGGCCATGATATTTCATAAGTTTGCTGAGCCGTCTCCTAACAAAAACACAGGAACAGATAAACCACATAGCAATAAAACTTTACAATAAATTATTACCAAATTTAAAACAATTGCCAATTAGAAAATAGAAAAGCAACTATTAAATGCTACCCATGTGGATGTTTTTTTTTAGAATCTATTCGTACTTGTAACATTTTTATTTTTTTTTTCTAATTTTGACATGTAAAGTGACATTTTCTGTAATCGCAGTAAGTTTCAAAATGAACTGCTTTATGTAACTAGTTACTAGTTGTAAAATTTGGGGTAGGTTGATTGTAAAAATGTTTCTAAAAGTAGGCATTACGAATCGTGTCCATGATAACTACGCACGGTTCTAAATTAAATCAAAAATGACACTTAAAGTGAAGAATTTAATGCTCTTACAGTTAAAACACATAATATTTACAAAATTAAACAACCAAATCAATACGATGTTTTTATTTAACAAAAAAAGTCAATCAATTCGTAAAAATACTTAAATCTATTCTTACAATTTATGATAATACTCAACATTGTTTTTCACAAAACAGACCCACATCAAGTTGGCTGTCTTTCCAGGATTTTCGGCTGTTTTGGCGCATTTCTGGATGACTCCTTCGACCTGGGATTGGTCGACGACCAAACCGACCTTGATCCTCATGGTGGGGATATTCAATTGTCCGTTGGGGTGTTGGAGACCGGCTTTGATGGCCATGCAGCTCATGTGGATACCGACTTGGGGATCGTTGATGTTATTGGAGAGGTTCCTTAGTTTATTTTCGTCGCAAAAGGTCTTTGGATTCGATTGGCAGGCGTCGTGCACTTGTTTTAGGAAGGTTCTTTCGCTAGCTGGTAAATCGGCCTGGAATAGAGAAAATAATTCTTAAAAATACTTTTTTTTAGAGAAAAATTGGAAGTTAATTTTAAAAAAAAAATGGATAAGTCACATACCCACCCTAGTTAACCCTCTTTGTTATGTTTACTTAAAGAAATTATACAACTTTTACAAATAAAACGATCGAAAAGAAAATAGTCTTTAAATCTCACAAGGATATGTTTTTTTTACTGCGACCGGTTTCGAAGTGAATCATTTCATTTTTTGACACGCCTAGTGGTAAGAAAAAAGAAAATTGGTGAACCTAAAGGGGTGGTAGTGAACATCAAAAGAAATATTTTTTAAATAATAAACCTAATATGTCCGAAAACGCAAAATTTTCCAAATACAGTGAATTTTATACAAAAATAATAACTCCTACTAGATATTATCAATTTTTTTTTAATTATTTTGAATAGAGCAACTAAAATTTTTGTTACTTGATATTTTTATGTATCTAAGAATTAAGGAATAAAAAGTTTAATTTTTAGTTGCTTTATTAAAAACATTCAATTTTTTAAAATATACAGGGTGATAATCATTTTCCGCAAAAAAATTAATAGACTTGGGCACGCCTATATACCTCATCAAGATCTCAACAAATTTAAAAAATTTTAATAAAATTGTTTACATTTTCGAATAAGATAACATCAACATAACATCAACACAACAAAAGTAGCTTTATTCTAAAGAAAATATTGATTTTTAAAATTTTGTAGTCAAAAATGTTAAAAACAATCAACAAAATAACTTAGGGCAATTTAACCCTAAGCCCCTCCTATAATTTACCAGAGCTGGGGAGGATTCAAATCACATAGGATTCGAATCCTTTTTGAGGATCCGAGAGCGGGATTCGAATACTTTAGAAAAAAAGGATCCGTGTTTCGGATTCGCAGAGAAAATCCTAAAGGATTCGTATTCGAATCATCAATATCAGTCTCGGATCCTTTTAGAAACCAAACTACGCCGGCGCGAACGGTCGGCTCTAGCTTTGACTTGTCGCGAATTGTAAACTAAAAACTAAAACAGACTGAAACTGAATAGAAAACCGATGTGTTTGGCGTTGTGCACGATTACAGAATTAACAAATCAAAAAAGGAGGAGGTTCTCTATTCATCGCGATATATGTCTTTATGTATATTCAGCCATAATTCTTTAACACGGTGTCCGATTTCAATAAGTCTCTTTTTGTTAGAAAGGGGGTACTTCAGGGGTGGTCCCATATAAATTTGGTCAAAATCTAATAATTGGGTCCATGACAAAATCCTCAAACTATTCATTTTTATGTATGTTTAGCGATAATGCTTTACCACCTTGTCCGATTCATATTATTCTTTTTTTTATTAGTAAAGGGGTACCTCAGTGGTGGTTCCATATAAATTTGGTTAAGATGTGATGACGGCATCTGCATATTTTTGAAGTCGGTTTTTTAAATTTTTAATTTCTAATGCTTGTTTTTTTTTATTTATTATAGATACCAATTAGCTACAGCATTCCATATTTAATTATTAATTATTAATAATACTATTATATTAATTAATTAATATAATAATAATATAATATTAATAATTAATAATTATCATATACATAAATAATTGGATAATTGCAAATAAGTAAAGTTCTTTTTAGCTAAATGATTTTAGATTTTAGTTATATTTAAATTAATAAAATCTTAAAATATTTGTTCTTGTTTAGTTAATATTCATTGTTGCAATTTAGATCTATAAAGACCTATCGAATTTAGGTTTTTAAATTCCACCGGAAGTGCGTTAAATATTTTAGGATCGAGGTATAAAACAGTATTAGATTCGAAAGCAAATATAATTAATATCACAGTATAACACTGTCAGTGATTCGTATCCGTGATCCGAAAAAAACGATTCGAATCAC